GTTGCTGTTGCTGCTGGTGCTGGTGCTGGTGCTGCTGCTGTAATTCATCCAAGCGATTGTAGGCAAACCCCTGCAATTTCTGATTGCGTCTATTTGTTTGCAAAAGCTTTTTTTCTTTTATCATTTCTTAGCTTTGTATAATTTAAGTGCAATTTATTTGCCAATTATGGTGGCCTCCATATTTAGCGGCTTCTCTCCAACTTTAAACTAACAACAGCAGAAATGTTTATTTTTTATTACTATTATAGTTGATAGTTGATGTTGTTGCCGTTACAAGCACGCATTTTATTTATTTTATACTGGTTGTTGATAAAAATGTATGTCCGCATTTATACACGTATTCCTCAGCATACACTTATTAGTTGCATGTTTGTCGCACGTTATTGTCGTTGTTGTTGTTGTTGTTGTTTTTGTTGTTGTTGTTGTCTTATTGCTGAAGTCTCTTAAGATTTGTTTAATTCTGGATAAACGGGTATGAGTTTGACGTCTCAGTCTTTCGTTTTGTTTTCATTTTTTATTAAACAACAACACCAACCCGCAAGAAAAGAGAAAAAGCAATAAAAGCCTACACGCAAGCACATATGCGCATAAACACACACATCCGTCTACTTTCGTGTACACATATGCGTACGTAAAATATTTAAGTGAACGCTACGAACGAGCGCAGTGTACCTCAACGCAATTTTAAAGTTAATACTTTGACTTAAGCGAATGCTTTTTGTTATTTCCTTGGCCGTCACGTCAAGCGGCAAGTAGGTCACTTGCGATTTCATGGCCGACTTTTTTTTAATCTCTATCTCTCTCTCTCTCTCTCTCTTTCTCTCTCGCTCTCTCTCGCTCTCTCGACTGACTACAAAAACCATGTAACGATTGAGTTAATCAGTTAATGTGTCACTTCAGCATTTGTTGTTGACAGACATTCAGTTACCTATTTTTTCTTCACAAATATTCTTAAGGCCATCTATAAAGAGTTGTAAGATCTATCTCATCTCAAAAAGGGTCAATTTCGGCCATTCGATCTAAATCGAAATATCTTCCGTTGTCATACACTTGACATAAGTTAAGATCTAAAGGGCAAGATATAATTTGGAGTTTAATTCCAATGTTTCGGTTACAGTTTGAAAGTGAATATTCCCGGAACAGTACTCGATAATAACTCGAACTTCAGCCTCCGTATCGATAATACCATTGCAAGACTTTGTCTAACTTTGCGAAAACTCTGCCATCTTAATGTTTACCCATCAATCAGAGTCAAACTTAAAATTGTCCTTTCTCTTTTAATGTACTGTACACTCTTTGAAAGCGTTCGACGATGTCCTCTATGTAAGTTTGCTAAAGTACAATCAGCTATCTGTAAGATTGTGCGCCCAAAAACCACATTCGAACTTTCTTAAAATTCTCTTTCGAAGATTATCGTAAATTTAAATTTCTCTCACTTCACTTCCTGTCCACCAGATCTAACAGGAGTCCCTCTCAGGTTATTATGCCGTTCATAATGAATTCAGCCGTAGAAAAGCCATTCGTTATACGCTACATTCGTTACAGGAACGATCTCTCGTTGAACCTAAGAGCTGTTATCAGCGACGTTAATCTCTTCAAGCAATTATGCATTAACTTGAACAATCTGTAAGACCGCTAAGGGTTGTGACATGTTTATGAGTTTAGTTAACCGATTACAATTTAATTTTGAAAGTACTCCCGAATAAGAATAAAACAATTAACCATTTTTGAATCCAAGTCCAGCTAAC